GCCGCCCGCGCCGCCGGCCGACCGGCCGGGCCTGGCGCACGGCTCCCCGCCCCCACGCCGCCTCCATTTGTTATTTTCCCTCCGGTACCCCGCTGCGGGCACTGCCCAGGCTGGGTGAGCACGGGGTCTCGGGGGTGGGGCCGGCCGCGAGGAAGGCACGGGGGCCCCAGCACCCGGAGGATCGCGAAGGTGGGGGTGGGTGGGAGGGGCTCAGGACTCGGAGGCCTGGTGGCGCCGAGGGGTGGCCCGGACCCCCGACAGGAGAGGAGAAACCGAGGTCGGGGCGTGGGGCCGCTGGTGGAGGGAAGACGGAGGGGGCGCGTGCGGGCATCGGGGTGAAGGCGAAAGGCTTGGAGAGGTGGCAGCGAGGTGGGGCCGAGGCTCCAGCTAGGAAATGCCTCAAAGGCCGGGAGCCTGGGGTCCAGGGCCTGGGGGTGAGGTGGCTCAGAGGAGGAGGGGAAGGGGAAACGGGGAAGGGGTGTGGTGGGTGCAGAGCGGGGTTGTGACTGATGGGGGAAAGCGGGGAACCTGGGGAAAGGGAGGCCCCTGAAAGGGGCACGGAGAGGGCCGTTTTTGAGGGACCAGGGGCTTTGAGGAGTGGGCGTGGGAAGGTGATGTCTTTGTGACTCGTTTCTCTTTCCCTTACCGCAGGTCCCCCTAGACCGTTTTCTCAGTCTCACACACAGTCACTTCTGGGAGAGGGGACGCTGGGGCTTGTAGGGCGTGCGGGCCCTCCCACCACTGTGAGGAAGATGGGAGAGGCCAAAGGGCCCCAGGGAGGGCCGAAAAGGAAAGAATTGGGCACGTTCACTCCAAACAAGTAGTGACCCCCCCCCACACACACACCCCTTCACTCTTAGAACCTAGACTCTGGCTGTGGTCTCTGTATAGGGTCTTCATGACTCCATGCCTACCCTGAGCTATGAGGTCTCCTTTGTGCCAGATGGACCCCTGGGATGGTCCCTTGGGGTGGGGGGTGCCATTCTGTTGCCATAGCAGTGGTCCAGGGGGATGTCCAATAGGTGGGAGTTCAGAATCTTGATTGGACCTCAGTGTGTGGTTGTGCCCTTGGGGTGCAGCAGGGCTCCCAGTTCTTAGCACTTGGCGATGTTCTAGAACAGCGGTTCTCAACCTTCCTCACGCCGCTGCGACCCTTTCATACAGTTCCTCGTGGTGGTGACCCCCCAACCATAACATTATTTTCATTGCTACTTCACTGCTGTCATTTTGCTACTGTTAAGAATCGGCGACCCCCCAGAGGGGTGGAGACTCACAGGTTGAGAACCACTGTTCTAGATGTTTGTGGTGCTGTGTGGATAAGAGGTTCCCCAGAGGATGCACCCCCTTCCATCCAGCAGTGTGTTGGAGAAGGTAGACAGATTACTTTCAGGACCAATTCCCTCCCTCCAGGCATGGTGGGAAGGTGGAAATGTTGTTATATCTTCTTTCTGCAGTTCTTTTTGACCTCTACCTCCCTGTTATCAAGGACCTTTTCTGTTTGCTTGTGTTTTTTTCCTCTTCATTTCTGTACTGAAATTCTTTCTTTTTCTTAAATTTGAAGTCTTCCTTCAGTTTCCCTGAGGAATATCCTTTTCCCTCTTTCCCAAACTATCCTCACGGTGATCCTTTCCTCAGCTAACCTGCCACCTTCTATTTCTGACCTTGTAGGAATGACTGGGCTCTCCCAGGTGAGGGTGGCCCAGGGGAGAGGGCCACGGCCCAGCCTGGTATAATGGAAATGCCCTGGAATGGGAAGCTAGGGACTCCCGGCTGGTCTCACGTCTCTGACCTTGGGCAAGTCTTTTTCGGCTTCTGCGAGGCTTGTAGACTAAGTGAACTCTGAGGCAGTTTAGGCAGTGCATTATCTGCTGGTCTGGGCTGCACTGTTATCTACGAGATACTTTGGACTGGTTTGCTTGTCAGGCAGGTCTGGAATGAGGAAGGCTGGGTCAATGATCCTGAAATTCACCCAGCAAGTGTCTCCCAGAAAGCCTTGTGACTTGATTGTATTTCTTTTTATAGCCTTTCCAAAAAACAAAACAAAAAACCCAAACCAGTTGTTTTTTGTTTTGTTTTTTTTAAGTGGATCAGCAAGGCTTTTTTCTGGGTGGACGCAAACTTAATTTTCCTTGTTTTTCTCCTGTTTCTCACAACCCTTTCGCAGCTTCCCAGTCCAGTCGACCACTTTCCCTTTGCAGTCAGGTAATCGAGGTGAATGTGTTGTGTGTTGCGAGGCACGTAGGTGCTCTGTAAATGTTAGCTAAAGTGATTGGCTGCTCTGGCGAGGAGCGTAGTCCAACTCGTTGGATCCAGAAACAAGTTCCAGCTTCAGAAACATCCATGCAATCCAACCGGAGCCCGCCTTCTCTCTCCCCATCCACCTACCTTTCTGTGACCGCTTGCTTCTCCTCAGTGTCACTTTAGCTAATTGTATCAGACTCCAACTGATGCAGAAAAGTTGAGTGGCAAGGATTGCCCTGTTCTTCAAGGACCTTCCTGTGTTTCTCGTGACTTTCTGGATCCCCTGACTGGTTCGGTGAACCGGTTCTGTGATTGGAGGAAAGATGGGCACCCAGCTCGAGAGAGGCTGACAGATTACAGCCACTCACAGCCATCTTTGTTGGGCTTTGGCTTCGTTTTTTTTCTCCCTTGTGTTAGATGAGGGTCTGTCCTTTGCGTTTGGGGGGTTGACAGTATTTTCAAACTAGTCTACATAACTACTCAAACATGTGGCAGTAGTTATAGTTGACCGAAACAAGAAAAATAAAGTTCCACTAGGTAGATAGAGCATCATTTGAAAACTCAGAAGTCCTGGGGCGCTAGACCAGCTATTCTGTGATTCAAAGAAAATAGTTGTAAAGTTTCTGGAAAGGTCATGTTCACCCCGTGCCTGTTGACTTCAGAAGTGGACCTGAATAAGAATTCTTTTCAGTCTCCCTTGGGTAAAAATGCTGTAGAGAGGAGAGATGCCATTTACCTAGCCAGCCTCCTACCTCACAGTAGATGTGGAAGCCTCCTTGGTTCCCGTTGAGGCAGGCCGCACTTAAGTCAAGACTGCCGACTGTGGTGGGTTCAAAGGTCAATAACAAGAAAGAACACCTGTAGATACCATTTGTGGAGGGTGTTCACAGGGGAAATCAGTAAGAAATTGCTTCCAAAAGATAACAAACGAGTGCAAATGAAGAGTTGGACACTCACTCACTCACTCTGTTATTTGGAGTTAGCTAGGTTTGGTTTGGGATTAATAGGCCTGTGCTTCCTTTGTACTGTCCCCTGGAACATTTCAGGGTCCCTCGCGTCTGATGTGGGGAAAAAAAATTCAGATCTCTGGAACTGCTCTAGGCTTTCCGAGACTTGTCCCTGCTAGCTTCTGACGACAGTGCAGCAACTGTAGAAGAGTGAACATGGGCTTTGAGGTCAGAGACATGGGCTTGCTTCTGCTCCTGCCACCGTGGGGAGCTGGGCGAGACTCATCCTTTGGGCCTCAGTTTCCTCCTCTATCCAGTGGGAATAACGAGCACACCAATTTCTCCGGGTTAGTTGCGTTAAATGAAGTTTTGTGTGTTCAAGGCTTGGTACTCCAGTTTCATTACTTTCTACTTCCTGTGTAAAGAAAGCTCTGTGGAGTTTGTGTGCATACAAATATTCCTGAGGGACCATCCGGGTAAACCAGTACGATCTTTCGGATCGGGCTCATAGTACTTCCTGAGTTTCCTGCCTTCCCCAGAGAACAGAGAGCAGTTTCTCTCTCCTGGGTGAAGTGTAGGGCTGCTAACTTCAAGATTATCAGTTCAATCCCCCCAGCCACCCCAGAGGAGAAAGATAAGGCTGTCTACTCCCGTAAAGATTTTCAGTCTCAGAAATCTCATAAAGGGGCTGTTAGGAGTTTGGATTGACTCACTGGAGGTGGGCTGGTTGGATTTCTCTTTCACTTGTAGATGAGCTGAGGTAGTCCCTGGGGCAAGGCAGCCAAAGTCCTTTGGGAAGCACAATAGTATTGCCTTAAGACTCTGCTAGCCAATTTAGTGACCCTGATGGTTTCCTTCTAGAGCCTTCACTGGAGGGAGATCCTGCAAGGTCCAGGGGCCTACACTGGACACTTGGCGAGGCTGCTTCCTACTTCCCAGGCTACGGTTCTGGGAAACTTGAGGTGAAGTAGAGAAATTTCTGTATTCAGCTGCCCAGGCAGAGGAGAATGGGGTCTCCACAGCCTGAAGAATGAAGACACGACAGAATAAAGACTCAGTAAGTAACAGCTAAAGTGGGAGACGTGGAAGGTTAGGGGCAGGGAAGGGGCAGACCTGATAAAAACACCAATAAAGCCCATCGCAACGTTAGATTTGACGTAAAACGAAATGGAAAATCACTTGCCTCCTTCCTCAGATGTCAATGAGGAGTGGACGGAAGAAAGAGGCCCCTGGGCCCCGGGAAGAACTGAGATCGAGGGGCCGGGCCTCCCCTGGAGGGGTCAGCACGTCCAGCAGTGATGGCAAAGCGGAGAAATCTAGGCAGTCAGCCAAGGTATTCTGTCTCAGGCCCTCCCACAGGATGCTTGGGTTGGACTGCATGTGTGTATGTTCTGGGGGCACTTCCTGTCCAGCAGAGAAGTTTGCCGGTAGAGGCCTGGGAGACTCAAGGTGTAAGACACAGCTTTCGTCCAGCAGAAGGCCCGAGTAGAGGAAGCGTCTACCCCGAAGGTCAACAAACAGAGCCGGAGTGAGGAGATCTCAGAGAGTGAAAGTGAGGAGACCAGTGCACCCAAAAAGACTAAAACGGAGGTAAGAAGCCTTTTCAGCTATGGGACCCTTTTTCTGTACGCGCACTCTTCCAGACTGCCTTCCACGAGCAGTTCCTACCTTGATCCACCCGGGATATGGGAGAAAAGCCCTGTCTTGGGTTTATTAAAGCAGCCATATAGCAGACAGCTCTTTAGGGCTTGGGGGAGAGACCACTAGTGACTTGGCAGGACCAAAGGGGGCTGGAGGAGCTTGAGAGATTCTAGCACTCGCCCCACCCTGGTTTTCAACTTAGGGCCGGGGAGGTGGTGGTTCAGGGTCAGAAGTCTTGTTAGAAGGAACAAGTCCATCATAGAAAGAAAATGTAGAAGTTGTCTTTTTAAGAACAGAGTGTTTTTAAGGCGGTTAAAGGGCTAAGAGATGAGATGAGATAGGTGAAGGGGAAGACGGATGGGTCCAGCTGTGGAAGTGGGGAGAGGTGCTTGAAGAAGGAGGGTGGCTGGGTAAGGCGGGAAACAAAGTTAGCTGCTAAGGAGCAGCTGAGAATGCAGGGAGTGGGGAATCCCCAGACGGTAAAGAGATGGACATTACAGTACAGACATGCTTTGAGGGGAAAGGGATTTTGTGCAAAGGAGACCCCGGGTGTAGGATGGGAAATGGCCCTTCTTCTGCAGCAGGAACTCCCTCGGCCACAGTCTCCCTCGGACTTGGACAGCTTAGATGGGCGGAGCCTCAACGACGATGGCAGCAGTGACCCTAGGGACATTGACCAGGACAACCGCAGCACCTCCCCCAGCATCTACAGCCCTGGAAGTGTGGAGAACGACTCCGACTCGTCCTCGGGCTTGTCCCAGGGCCCAGCCCGCCCCTACCACCCACCTCCACTCTTTCCTCCGTCCCCTCCCCCGGCCGACGGCACCCCCCGACAGCCAGAGCCTAGCTTTGAACCCCACCCTCCTGTGGCACCCACTGGGTATCATGCTCCCATGGAGCCCCCTGCATCTCGAATGTTCCAGGCTCCTCCTGGAGCCCCTCCTCACCCACCACTCTACCCTGCCGGAGCTGGTGGAGGCGTTCTGTCAGGACCTCCAATGGGTCCTAAGGGGGCAGGGGCAGCCTCTTCAGCAGGGGCCCCCAGTGGGGGTAAGCAACACCCTCCACCCACCACCCCCATTTCACTATCAAGCTCCGGGGCTGGTGGTGCTCCACCAACTAAACCGCCTCCCACTCCAGTGGGTACTGGGAGTCTATCCTCTGCTCCTCCACCAGCCACTTTCCCCCATGTGGCACCAAATCTGCCCCCGCCACCTGCCCTGAGGCCGCTTAACAATGCATCAGCCTCTCCTCCTGGCCTAGGTGCTCAGCCACTCCCTGGGCATATGCCTTCCCCCCACGCCATGGGGCAGGGTATCGGTGGACCAGAGAAAGGCCCAACCTTGGCCCCTTCGCCCCACCCTCTGCCCCCCACTTCCTCTTCTGCGGCCGCTCCCCCTCTGAGGTACCCTTACTCCTCCTCTAATAGCTCTGCAGCAGCCTCTTCTTCCAGTTCTCCCTCTGCCTCACAGTACCCCGCTTCCCAGACATTACCCAGTTACCCTCACGCCTTCCCTCCCCCAACAAGTCTCTCTGTTTCCAATCAGCCACCCAAATATACCCAGCCTTCTCTCCCATCCCAGGCTGTGTGGAGCCAGGGCCCCCCACCCCCTCCTCCCTACGGCCGCCTCTTAGCCAACAGCAATGCTCACCCGGGCCCCTTCCCTCCTTCCACTGGGGGCCAATCCACTGCCCACCCAACAGCCCCGGCACACCACCACCACCACCCCCCGCCGCAGCAGCAGCAGCATCATGGGAGCTCTGGACCCCCTCCACCTGGAACATACCCCCACCCCATAGAGGGCAATGGCTCTCACCATGCACACCCTTACGCCATGTCGCCCTCCCTGGGGTCTCTGAGGCCCTACCCACCAGGGCCAGCACATTTGCCCCCACCCCACAACCAGGTCTCCTACAGCCAAGGGGGCCCCACTGGCCCTCCAGCTTCTTCCTCCTCTTCCAACTCCTCTTCCTCTCAAGGGCCCTACCAATGTTCACACCCCTCCCCTAACCAGGGCCCCCAAGGCACCCCCTACCCCTTCCCACCGGTGCCTCCAGTCACCACCTCCTCAGCTACCCTCTCCACTGTCATTGCCACCGTGGCCTCCTCGCCAGCAAGCTACAAAACCGCTTCCCCTCCGGGCCCCCCACCATATGGAAAGAGGGCCCCATCCCCTGGGGCTTACAAGACAGCCACCCCACCTGGATATAAGCCGGGGTCACCGCCCCTGTTCCGAACGGGGACCCCACCAGGCTATCGAGGCGCCTCACCCCCCGCTGGCCCAGGGACCTTCAAGCCTGGCTCGCCCACAGTGGGGCCTGGGCCACTACCACCAGCGGGGCCCTCAAGCATGGCCTCCCTGCCACCGCAGCCTGCAGCCCCTGCCTCAGGGCCCCCCCTAAGCGCCACGCAGATCAAACAGGAGCCGGCTGAAGAATACGAGCCCCCAGAGAGCCCGGTGCCGCCGGCCCGCAGCCCCTCGCCCCCTCCCAAGGTGGTGGACGTGCCCAGCCATGCCAGTCAGTCTGCCAGGTGAGCGCCCTGGGCCGCGGGGGACGGGGAGGGCGGATGGGGGCTCAGGAAGAGGGGGCGGGCCCTGCATTCACGCGCATGGGGTGGGGTGGGGGAGCGTTGCGGCTGTCGCCCCAGCCTAGCCCTCGAGGGCCTGACGTGAACAGCCCCGGGGTCTGCGGGAACTGGTTTGTGGGGTGGGGGCGGCCCGAGGCTCGCCGCGGGGCCGCCCAGGCAGCGCTCCAGGGCTGAGCGCGCGCCGCGCCCGCAGGTTCAACAAACACCTGGACCGCGGCTTCAACTCGTGCGCGCGCAGCGACCTGTACTTCGTGCCGCTGGAGGGCTCCAAGCTGGCCAAGAAGCGGGCCGACCTGGTGGAGAAAGTGCGGCGCGAGGCCGAGCAGCGCGCGCGCGAGGAGAAGGAGCGCGAGCGCGAGCGCGAACGCGAGAAGGAGCGCGAGCGCGAGAAGGAGCGCGAGCTGGAGCGCAGCGTGGTGAGTGCGTCACGGGCGCGTCACGCGCCGCCGCGCCGCGCAGGAGGCTCCAGGGGGCGGGCGCGCGCGTACCGCCGCCTGTGGAGCGGAGGAGTCACTGCAGCTCGGCAGACGGGACCGCGCCGTTTCCAGGGGAAGGCAAGAGATAGCGGGCCGAGCTGTCCTTGTTGATTCCCGTTCTCCGTTTGCCCCGCAGAAGTTGGCCCAGGAGGGCCGCGCTCCAGTGGAGTGCCCGTCTCTGGGCCCGGTGCCCCATCGCCCTCCATTTGAGCCAGGCAGTGCTGTGGCTACAGTGCCCCCCTACCTGGGCCCCGACACTCCAGCCTTGCGCACGCTTAGCGAATATGCCCGGCCCCACGTCATGTCTCCTGGAAACCGCAACCACCCATTCTACGTGCCCCTGGGGGCAGTGGACCCAGGGCTCCTGGGTTACAATGTCCCAGCTCTGTACAGCAGTGACCCAGCGGCCCGGGAGAGGGAGCGGGAAGCCCGCGAGCGAGACCTCCGAGACCGCCTGAAGCCTGGCTTCGAAGTGAAGCCCAGTGAGCTGGAGCCCCTCCACGGCGTCCCCGGGCCAGGCCTTGATCCCTTCCCCCGACACGGGGGGCTGGCCCTGCAGCCCGGCCCACCAGGCCTGCACCCTTTCCCTTTCCATCCGAGCCTGGGGCCCCTAGAGAGAGAGAGGCTAGCACTGGCGGCGGGGCCAGCCCTACGGCCTGACATGTCATATGCCGAGCGGCTGGCAGCTGAGAGGCAGCACGCCGAAAGGGTGGCAGCGTTGGGCAATGACCCACTGGCCAGGCTGCAGATGCTCAACGTGACCCCCCATCACCACCAGCATTCCCACATCCACTCGCACCTGCACCTGCACCAGCAGGATGCTATCCATGCAGGTAAGACACCCTACATCTCACAAGTGACTTGGCCAAGCCATCCCTCCTCTAGCCTGGCATGAGCCTCTTTCCCGTGATTGCTGCCTCCCCTTGTCCCCCCAGCCTCTCTCCTCATGCCCTGGAACTGTAGGGCCTGGGTGTCCCACCAGTCACTACTTCTCTTAGTCTGGCATCCCACCCCTGATAGAGGCTCATGTTGGGGGAACCACCTTGCTACCTTTCCCGCCCCTCGCTCTCAAACCTTCCCTTACCTATTCCCTGGCTCCTTTGGTTCCAACTCCTGTGTCTGCCACGGTTCCTTTCCATCCTCTGTCATGTCTACCCTTGGGGTGGGGTCTCTAGTTCTCTCATTCTGCGCCCCATTCTATTCTGATGCCCCCCCCCCCCATTGTCCGCTTCTCTTCCCAGGCTCCCTTCACCCAAATGAATAGGTTCCCAGACCTGCCTCTGGTGACACCTTCTTTTTCTTTGCCCTCCAGCCTCTGCCTCGGTGCACCCTCTCATCGACCCCCTGGCTTCTGGGTCCCACCTTACTCGGATCCCCTACCCAGCCGGGACCCTCCCCAACCCCCTTCTTCCTCATCCTCTGCACGAGAACGAAGTTCTTCGTCACCAGCTCTTTGGTAAGGACGGCACTCGAGGCCTGGGGAGCTCTCCTGAGGGAATGGACCAGAATGACAGAAGGGAGGCATTTGGGGGGTGGGACTGGCCCACGTGGGTGTGGGAGGGAGGGAAACGGAAGTGCCTGGGAGAGCGGTCTAGACTTCGGGAGGTGTGCAGCCGGACTCCACCAGTGACCGCCTGCAAGACTGGGGGTGTACCCTAACTTCTTAATTGTGGTTTCCTGTGAGGTGACTGGCTGCCCACTGGCCCATAGGAGGTACCCAGCACCCATCAGTCACGTACCCCTTACCTTTCCACCCCCAGCCGCCCCCTACCGGGATCTGCCGGCCTCCCTCTCTGCCCCTATGTCCGCAGCTCACCAGCTGCAGGCCATGCACGCACAGTCAGCTGAGCTGCAGCGCCTGGCACTGGAGCAGCAACAGTGGCTGCATGCCCATCACCCCCTGCACAGTGTGCCGCTGCCCGCCCAGGAGGACTACTACAGGTATGGGTGTCCAGGGCCAGGAGTGGGCCGGGGCCCCATTGGTGAGAGGGGCCAGGTCAGGATGGACTACTGGCTTAACTGCTCTGCCTCCTCTCCCCTCTCCCCAGTCACCTGAAGAAGGAAAGCGACAAACCGCTGTAGGTCCTGGGACCAAGAGAGCTCCTGCACCTCGGAGGCAGCCCTCCCGCACACCACAAGGAGTCCAGAGAGGACACTGCCCAGTTGCAGGGTCTTGGCAGCTGGCCAGTGGGGAGGAGGCAGGGACAGACAGAAGGCCAAGGCTGGTGTGGGGAGGTGACGAGGGTGGGGCAGAAGCGCACAGTATCTTGGACCCGGTCCCTTTTCCTCCTCGTCCCTCAGCTTTCTTCCTCCCCAAGCCCAGCCCTTGGTGGCCACCGACCCCTCCCCCGCCCGTTGGTGTGATTATTTCATCTGTTAGATGTGGCTGTTTTGCGTAGCATCGTGTGCCGCCCCCGCCCCCCCCCACCAAAATCCTTGTGTGCGCGCCCCCTGCGATGTATGCCCGGCCCCCTCTCCCACATTAATAATTTATATATATAAATATCTATATGATGCTCTTTAAAAAACATCCCAACCAAAACCAAACAAGCAAAAACATCCTCACGACTCCCCAGGAAGATGGCTGCGACTCTTTCTTTGCGGGCTGTGTGGGGATGGGTGGTGGTGGTGGGGGTTTGTGCCGCGGTACCCAGAGAAAGTACTGGAAACGGGTCAATGGGCTAGTGGGAGGGGGAGGACCCGAGGTGGGCCCTGGCCGGAGGATGCTGTGGAGTCGGAGCCGGGATCATGGTTGCCCACTCCGGAGAAGTCAAGACATTGGAGGCCTGCCTCGGACTTGCCCTGTCTAAGACAGTGGACCCCACCAGCTGCTCTGCGGGGGGCGGGGGGCGGGGGGACGACGACACACTAAGTCCTGCAAAGACTTAGTCTTGGGAAGCCATAGATAGGGTCGCTGTGAGTCCGAATCCACTGGATGGCACTGGGGTTTGGCTCTGAAGGAACCACCCCGAGCTCTGGGAGGTGTGCTCTGCCTCACCACTAGAGGCCCCCAAGAGCCTCTGGGACCCGGACTCCAGAGTTCTGGTTCCTTTCCATGGGATAGCTTGGGAAACTGGTAAGAGGTGGGGTAGGCATAAGTTTCAGGTAGGTCAGTGTCCTTCGGTTGGAGGGTTGACAATTTCAAAGGCCTCTGGGTGCTACGAGGCCATTTTAGGAGACGCCTCGGAGCTGCGCTTGCTCCAACTTGTCTGACTACGAATCACAGGCTTCCTTCTTAAGACCTAAAGGAGGTGTGGCTTGCTGGTTTCCACCCAATGAGCATTGTGCTCATTTACATAAAGATCCGAACGTTCGCAAACTCCAGAAACGATAATGTTTAGTTCCTTCGAATATTGGTTTTTCTATTTTAACTTAGTGTGCGCTACTTCTATGTTAGCGGGGATTCAAAACTCTCCGCCCTCAGCTCACCCTTACCAATAGTGGTGTCCTAAGAGATCCCCTGTTCTCTGCACGGAACTTCCGGTAGTGTTACAGCTCTTTTAGAATTTGTCTAGCAGGTTTTCTGGTTTCTACCAGAAAGCCCCCCACACACTAGTAAAACGGGTATTTAACAGCAGATTGGCTGAAAGAGATCTCTTCATTTCTGTGAGCCCCGGGATTTCATGGTTGCTTCTCCGTTGGTGCTGCACCAGGATTGTACGAGCCGGTTTCCGGTTGCTGCTGATGCTATTTCCCTTCCACTCCCACCGGCTTTGGGAACCGCTCTCGGGAGGCGGCCCTTCCCGCGGCTTCGCTGCGCGTGCCGCTTGTAGTCCTGTATGGCGTCCACCTCGGCCCAGCCCGCGGCACTGAGCGCCGAACAGGCCAAGGGTGAGGAGCACCTCTGCTCCCCGGGGTGGGCTTGGCTGGGGATGGCGCGGGGAGATGGCCGCAGTCGGAGGGGGCGTTGGCTGGGGATGGCGCGGGGAGATGGCCGCAGTCGGAGGGGGCGGGGAGCGCCGCGTACCATTCCTCTCCCTCTGCCAAGTGGGTCCTTAACCACTACAGCGGGTGGTTCCGGGTCCGGCTTTTTCGGGTTGCCACCAGCTTCGTCTCCTAATCCTCTGGCCCCTTTCCTGCTGCTGCGCTCCCGGTTGGGTCCGACGGCGGTGCTCCCAACTCCTGCGCTGGGACGCTTTCCGGGTCGCAGTGGTCCTGGCCGAAGTCATCCAGGCATTCTCGGCCCCGGAGAACGCCGTGCGCATGGACGAAGCCCGGGACAACGCGTGCAATGACATGGGCAAGATGCTGCAGTTTGTTCTGCCCGTGGCCACGCAGATCCAGCAGGAGGTCATCAAAGCCTATGGCTTCAGCTGCGATGGGGAAGGTGGGTCTGGTATCCGCCGGGCCCCTGAGCTGTGGTTCCACTTCTCGCCACACGGCGGCAGCCACGAGCTGACTAACAGTCGTGGCGCTCCCGCGAACTGGCGCGCGTGGGGGGTGGGGGGTGCAACCCTGGGTGCGTATTGTATGTATTTTGTAGTCTGCCACGAATACTGTAATATCCTCATGCATCGTTCTAACGCCCTATTTTACGACGAGAGAGACTCCAGTACTGAAGTGCCCAGGGTCACAGCTGAGCTGGACTCGAATCCAGTTCTGTGAGTGCTTTTTCTAAGACTGCGTGAGACTTTGCTGTGCTGCCCCACCAGGGTGGGGAAACTGGGGCCTGGCAATGAGGGTTCCTTGGTGAGATCACGATGTTCCCCAAGGGTGTTTCACCCCCTATTCCACCCAGCTGCATCCGCCCACCTGTGAACTGCCTTCACACCATACTTAGGGTTCATGTGACTCAACTGCTAACAGGACTCTCCCTCCTGAGAGGGAGGTGCACGTTGCTTTGGGATGTTTTTCATTCACCATTCCCATCCAGCTGTGCGCAGGGGTTGATCCAAGCCACACAGGAGATAGGCCAGTGGCAGACAGCGTGGTCCCCAGGTTATGGGGTAACTCTCCGCTCCCTATTGCAGGTGTCCTGAAGTTTGCCCGCTTGGTCAAGTCCTACGAAGCCCAGGACCCCGAGATTGCCAGTCTGTCGGGCAAGCTGAAGGCCCTGTTCCTGCCACCCATGACGTTGCCGCCCCATGGGCCTGCTCCAGGGGGCAGCATCGCTGCCACCTGAGGGGCTTGGCCCTCCCCTGTGACCCGGGGCCACTTTGGGGAGGGAAAGACCATGTTGTTCCCAGAAGATAATAAATGTGCCTGTGGCTCGGCCTTCACAGGAGTCCTTTGTGACCCGACAGCCCCCGCCTCCTGTGCCTAGATGCCATCATCTTTCTAGGATGCCCCCCCCCTGCCTCTCCTGCACTGTCCAGCCCTGCTCCAGAGAAGGCCTGGGGCCCCCCACTCTCTCCCCTCCCAAGGAATGGTGACAGGAGGACCGGCTTGCTCAATTCTCACCACTCACTGGGTGGTTGGGCCTGCCAGGCACTTCCTCTCTAAAGGACTGGTGTCCAGGCTGTGCACTTAGGACCCCTGGTACCCCTATTTTCCAGGGTTCCCTATGCCAGGGCTATTTCCTGGTCTCTGCCACTACCAGCTCTCCCGGAGCTCTGTCAGGTGGAGCTCCAGGTGACTCCTCCCTTCCCCAGGGAAGGAGGCCCTGGACTGGCTGGTGAAGCTGAAGGGGGAAGTAGGTTGCTGTGGGCGGTCTGTGCCTGGCCCCACCCCACCTGTCCCTCCTTCAGGGGCTTGTCCCTTCCCCGCGGTGCCATTGGCCCTGGCAGTGCCGAGCTAGCAGGAAGTAGCTGAATTCTGAGCACTGCTATTCACCTGGCCTGGGTCACTGCTTTGCTGTGCCCTGGCTAGGCCCCACCCCCTGTGGCCCTCTGCCTGTGAGCCCCCTCTCTTTTCCTGGGAGATGCTGTCTCGTGGGTAAGTCCCCTGCCCCACTTGGGTTTGCCTGCTCCTGTTAGTTTGGGAGGCGTCGTGCTCACTCACCCCTAGCAGGAATGGGACGACGGGGAGTGTGACTGCCCTGGGCCGTGTTCCCTGTTCTTACACACTCTGCCTCCCCAAGATGCACGGACCCCGCCCCACCCCCACCCTCCATGCTCATTCCTGCACCTTGGCTCCACCCCCCCACCCCCCCATGTTGTCTTAAATGACAGGCTGTATGCCTGTCCTCCCTCTCCCATTCCCACCTCTAGCCTCTGCCCCCTGGTGTCTGCCTGCAGCTTGGGATCGGCCTCCCCGGGAAATCCACACCCCCTGAAGCCTGAAGGCTCACCTGAGCAGCACCCCCACTCACACCCGTTCTCCCGCCCCCCACTCTGGAGCTGCTGGCTTTTGTTCCGTTTTCTTTCCATTTTTCTTTGCTCCCCCATCCCGTCATTCATTCACAGACACATACGAAGCATCTGTTTTGTGCCAGCTACTCTTCACAGTGCTGGGGACCCTGCAGCAAGCAAGACCTGTCGCAGGGAGCTTATGTGGCAGTGGGAGGTGGCACATTCACCAACCCAGCGAGCAGCGTAATTGCACATCTTTATGCGTGTGGTGCAGAAACTGAATAGCTTCCCGTGACAGCCAGTGCCACGTGGGGCATTACAAGCTGGAGAAATCTGGGAGGGCTTCCCTGAGGTGGTGGCATTTGAGCCGAGGCCTGGATGGTGCGGGTCCTGGGGTAATCAAGAGCCAGGCATCCCAGCCACAGGGCCTGGCAAGCAGTGGACCGAAAACCGAGGGGGCTGGTAGAGAGAGAGAGAGGGGCAGGACCAACCAGGACAGGCTGGCCCTTGTTGGGAAACGGAGATTGTATTATCCACCGAACACCTGCTTAAGAGACTGTTGGTGCATTTGTGGGCTGGTCGGCGTCAGGTCCTGCTGACTCTTGCTTCTTCCACTCTTGTCTGCCCCTCCTTTGTCTGCATTGCCCTCCGCCAGCTCCGCAGAAGGTCCTTATTGCATCATCTGGTCCGTGACCCTGTCCTCACACCAGCCATGCTCATTTTCCTTCCAAATGACGGCGGTGGTGGCGGCGGCGGCGGCGAGGCCTCCCCCTCAGCCCAGTCTGGTGTGGACCTCCGCATCTGCGTCCCAGTCTCTCACACGGGTCTGCGCCAGCCCGCTTCTCCGGCCAGCCCTTCCTCTAGGTGGCCCTGCCCAGTGGTCCCTTCTGTGCCTGGGGCAGCGCCAGTCCTTGCTCCCCAGCCTGCTGCCTACCGACTGCAGACTTCCTGGCTGACCAGAGAGCTAGGGGGCTGGACAGGGCAGGGCTGTGGTTTGTTGGCCTTCCCACTCACCAGCTCATGACCTTGGGCAAGTTCCTGAACCTCCCTGAACCTCAGATTTGGCTTCTAAAATTGGACCAATCACACCCACTGAATAGGCTTGGAAGGGCAGGGTGCTGATTCCCTAGTAGGATTCTCCCACAGGCGGGACCCACGGTCGAGTCCCGCCCGGCCCATGCACCGCACCTCGGTTGCGGGCGGGTTCTGGTGGAGCGTCCAGGAGAAGACCGATCAGGAGGAAAGGCCTGCCTGGTGGTCGGCCTCCAGAAAGCAGGCGGAGAACCCCGAGGGTCCCAGCAGTCTGGTCTGTCTGTGCAGGGGGTGCCATGGGGCCGGGGCTGCCCTGGCGGTGGCTGGCCACACCAGCAGCGCCTTACTTAGGGTTGGCGTGGGAACTGGCAGTGGAAGTCTGTCAGCACTGAAACCCCGCTGCATACCAGCTTTCCGCCCAGGGACAGTGGGCCCTTAGTGCACTCGGGTCCCACACACACCCCAGGTTCACCCAGCCTTCCCCCCGAAAAGCCAAACTCCCTGCAGAATGGATGTTCACAGCACACCCTATAGGACAGGATAGAGCTGCCCCTGTGAGCTTCCGGAAATGTAACTTTTTTTTTTTTTAAGAATATTAATTAGTTTATTACCATAAACACCTCTGAATTCTGCTACCTTGAAATCTTACGTTTGGTGACCAGAGCACACAGGAGCAGTTGACGGGGGAGGGCACATCCTGGCCCACCAGTCCTTGAGGACGATGACCCCAAATAGAGCAGCCAGTCCACAGAGAGAACCACATGGCCAGCCCCACTATGAGACGTGATGCCTCTCACAGACCCATGACCCTGCGGGGGACAACACCAGTGACACAGTGTGGGAATTGCACCTGATCTGACCCCGCCACACTGAGGCAAAGCACTGGGGGAGTG